AATGTTATCAAAACCAAGAAGACCTCAGGACATACTAAATTACAACCGCCTGCAACAGTATAAACAGGTAAATATAAGCTCTTTATAATAGTTTATAGTGTAAAATATTTTGCAATAACAAACAAAAATAACGTGTTTTATTAAATTTGTTATTTGTATTCCAAATTAATTTCCCACCGTTTTTTTTTTTTTTTTAATAGGTAGAATGCCATATTTACTCGAATGAGCGACGCATCTTGTTAAGCGCTGCTCTCAAATAAGTGCCATATTTGGGACGAAAGAGATAATAAGCGCCACCCCCGAGTTAGCACTGCGGCCCTGATTTAATCTTCAAAGTCATGTCCAACTTTCAAATAAATGCTTCCCTCAAATAAACGTTGCATTTGAGGCATACAAATTTAATAAGCATTGCTTCTTCGGTAAATACAGTATGATCCTTCGGGTGAATGCACACCTGATTAGGACTGTTGTTGACAGTTAGTTACCTGTGCATTTCAATCCATCACAGTTATAACAGCCGTTTACTGTACGTCTTCCGTTGTCCAGTCATTTTGTGTTCGTAAATAACTGCTTCACGGGCATTTCTGTGCTCAATAACCATACGTGATAGAAGCCTAACTACAAAGCTGGGTTTTTGCTAGTATTCTTTTCCTTTAATTTTTTTTTTTCATTTCTTCATTTTTCCAGTTCCCAGTGAAAACAAAAGAGATCTTCGATCAATAGAAGAGACTTTAAATGATATTCGCAAAAGAAAGAAACTTAAACCTGACGACATTGATGAAGCAAGTGAGCCACACGATTCCAAGGATGAACAGTAATTTGTTACGGGGATAACTCATTTATTTGCTCTAACTGCCGTAACAGTGCAGGATGTAGGGTGGAAGACGATATCTTGTAGTGGGCACCTTTGTTTCTTTGCCATGCCTTCCTTGACTCGAATTCGGTATGAGCAGAAGTTGCAATTTTTCCTGGACCGAAATTCAGACACAGAGTTGACAATTATCTCGCGGCGTGAATCAAGTGGATGGGGAGTCTCTTTGTTTGATTTTAGAACACTCAGAACCGAATTTTGTTCGGATTTAAGAAAGCAACAAAGTTTAAAAGGTTACAAACATTACATTGGATTTTCAAGGAGCCTGAAAGCTCCTCGAATTACATATAATCCCTGAAAAGTTATTTTTCTCCATGGAATTAGACTACGAGCAGGCTCCTATTTTTCTTTACAAAGTTACTCCACACGTAACCCATGCACGCGAGCGGCGAAGCCGCGCCAACGAGTTTATTGCAACGTCGTTGTTTGCATTCGCGTTGGCTGAGAAGAGAACTGGTCCCCGGATTTTAAGAGAAAATGCCGACTGTAAACAGTTTACCATGGGATGTTCAATGTATTTTCCTGGTGAGATGTGGCAGACTGAGAGCAACGCTACGTAGTTTATTTCCCACAGTATTCCTTTTTTCTAACGTTAGCGAGGTCACGAATAACTGTAAAAATAACCGATACGTTGTAGGAGATCGCAAATGATTTGTTTGACGCGCTGAAGTTGTATGGACCAGTAGTACATGTACCCTGCGAGCAGAGTCTCCTTCGATGGTAACATGAGATCAATGTGATAGCATTTTAAGGTGATCCTTAAAAGTACAAAACTTGTTCAAGATTAAGCTAAACACTGTAAAGAAATCTAAGGCGAAGATATTTAGAATTTTTCATGATATTGATAAAAGGCCTAAAGAAATTTCCACGGCCTTTGCAGAAAGTTCAATGCTTTGTTAGCTTTTTAAGTTTTTATTTCTCTTTCTCTTGTTGATCTAGAAGCTCCAGGGTAAGATCATTTTTTTTCATGTAATAATAATTAATGGTAGGCGATAAATTGTACAAGTATGCAACCTAAAATGTCTTTTTTACTGTAATTTTGGGAAAAAATAAACTTGAATATCGTCTATGCACAATTTGTCAACTTGAGAAGTTCTTCTGCCCTGAGTTAAAGAAATTGAACAAGAATTTTGTGTCCTTAAATTACCCGTTTTTTCATGAACGTTTATAAATGGAACAGGACGCCTAGTAAATGAAAAAAAAAACAACGAAAAACAAGCAGGATGAAAGAAAGGTAAATCTATGCATTTCAGTATTAGTTAATTGTGCGCATGCTTGAAACGAAAATGAAACGAATTCCATCACGTGACCAAGAGCTGCGAGAGAAATTCTGAGGACAATTTTAAGACGTTTCACGCGCTTTTTGCTCTCTTCTCTTTTTACTTAGCTCCAAATAAATGACTTTTTTATAATTCCAATACTTTTGTTTTTGTTTTCGCTTTTGTCCACGGGTAGCCGCATTTTAGTTACCGACAACCAACTGGGAACAAGAGAAACCCTTCTTAAGTTTATTTTAAAAATGTTAATTATACTGCCACCAATATGTGCTTTAACAGTATGAGGCCATTTTGCAATTGAACGTAAATAAAAAACAGGCAAATGCCAGCTGTTTAGAATCGTTAACATGGCAACATCGTTCCATTCCTTTCTGCAAAGTAGTGTTTTTTTTTTGGAGAAAATGACTGTTAAGAAGTGAAAGATAATGTTTTGTTACAGAAGAAAAGTGCATGAATAAAGGAATACCGTTTTGGGTTACAAAGGTTACAAAGAAAACAAAAAAACATGAGACTTAAACGGACCTTACCTTTTACGTACTTAATATGTTTGAATGATTTGCGTATGAATACAGGCTATCACTTTGCATGATTTGACAAAATTATAAATCTTTTGACGTCCAGTCCATTAAGTTGCGGTTTTGAACAGTAATTTTATGGGAAAATGAAATATGATTTAATCCAACGAGTCGCCGAGTACCCTATTAAATATGTCTAAACGTTCCGTTCGAAAAATGTGCTAACGAGATATCCCATCGTTGTAGAAGCGTTTTGTTGTTCCGTTTGGTTTCAAGAATAAATTATCAGATGAAAGTATGTGACGTGCAGGGAACGTTTTTCTTTTTGGTGCCAGACTTAATTTAAAATAACAAACTTTACGATCACGCTGATCTTGTTTTTCCATTCTCAAGTCTTAAACAGTGACAATTGTACAAGGGCTGACTCTACAAATACTCCTAAACCTTTAGTTTGCTCGGTCGCGTTTTTAACGAAGCATTCTTCAAATTAAAAACAGCTTTTCGAAAACCTCGCATACATTAGTACAGTCTAGCAGCTGCTCATAATTAAAAAAAAAAACCCTCATGAAAAATGAAGTTTTTTTTCCTGTCTCTGCACGAAGCCTGTCGTGGTTGACTTTCGTACAGTTTAATGTCCATTTCTTAGCACAAGAAAAACAGTTATAATTTAAACTCATTTAAAAAGGCACTGAGAGAAAAATAGAAATGTTCCCAACTTTTATTAGGAGTAATTCATGATGGTGGGGAAGGTGATATAACTGTATTATGGCAAGATATGGTATCAGACCGTAGTAAATTTGCATTTTTTACAATAACAATGTTTTTTTCAGCCGCAAGAACTTGGTAGATCTATAATTTGCAGTTATTATAACGTTAAGAAACGTTTGCTTGTTCAAATCTATTTTTATAATATTTCGTTTTTAAAACTGCCATCATCATTGATTCATACCGTACCGAGTCTCGAGCCAAGATAAACATTTTTCTTCAATTTCTCTTGTTAAATTTTCGACGCTTTTCCAGCGCCTGGTTTTGACTATTTGGGGTTCGTTTTTAACACTTTCATCTGTAGATCTCGAAATAGCGCTGCCTGTTACCCAAGCATTGTTCTTATTTTGCCTTGTCGTGGGAAAATAGTGTTGCCCATTAAAAGAAACTCTTAAGTCGGGAAAAGCATTGTTAATTGGCCATGTTCCTTGACTTCTAGTCCGTCTAACCGCTCTTGTTGATAATCTGGGTCCTAGATCACTGTAGCCAGACAAGCACAATGTACGCCTAACTGAAGGAAAATATTGACTTTTCGCGGACAGTTTTGCGTTTGGGTGAGATTCGGTAGATAGTGGACGTGATAGATCGTTGTAGACTAATTTTGTTCTTGGTAAGACATCATTCCTGACTTTATCATTACAATTCTCTCGCTTTTTGTTCTCCTGGCTGTCTTCGTAGTCATTAATGTCCTCTTCGTTAATTATTTCTTCGCGATGAACGCCGTTTTCAATATTTTTTTCTGAATTATTGATAGAAGATCGAATGTTACGAATAAACCTTTGCGGATGAACGATCCTTCGCCGAGTTTTATCGCGAAATTTACTGGCCTTTCGGGATTTTTCCATCAACGCTTCTTCCGGGCTTTTTTGCCTTTCTTTACTTGGTAGGAGATCCATTTTTCCTAGTGAAATCACGGTTTGTTTCATTTCATCCGACATCGGAAACAGTTCAGGAGTTCCTCGTCTTTTAAGCGGCGGTTTCAGTTCATGTATGGGTCCATCGTGCTTTCGCTGTGTTTTCACCGCAGCTAACCGCTCCCCGCGGCCAGCTGCCTTTTTGGCAAACGTTTGCGATTGTACGTTTAGTTTCCTTCTCGTAAACATGTTTGCCAACATGACTTGACGAGCAACTTTCCTGAAGTTGCGAGTCTCGTTTGTCATTTTTTCATTTGTCGCAGCCATGGTTTTATTCGTCGGAAAACGTTTGCTTGCCTCCATGTTTGCGAGCTAGCTAGACTTTCAATAACACGCTTATCACCCTGAAACCAATATTTCCAAGTAAGATGTGTTGATAAGTACCCACGATGCGGAACTGACGTGCGATAACCAAAATTATGGACCGGTATAGATTAACAGCAGGAATTAATCCTGCTGCCTTTTTTGGAGTTTCCAAATTGTATTCAAAAACAGTTTCGCTTCAAAAGCAGATGTTCGAAACGTGAGATGCATTTTGTATAAATCAGACTTTTAGTGTGGGCAAATTAACTATTTCAGACTATTTAACTTTCGCAATAATTAATTTTAACACTGCAAACAGGGGTCTATTTATTTCCAATTATACAAACAAAGTGGGTAGTGTCAGTGAAATATTACTTTTTCGCAGGAAATATTTGTCAATTGGACTCGAAAAAAAACCCACCATATTAAATTCTCTGTGTTATTACCAAGGAAGCAATTTTCTGTGACGTGCTAAAAGGCGGGTTTTCTTTGAAGTGGGCGTCATGATATTAGAAAAACGTAAACCTCTGTTCAGTTTCGGCTAAGAATAGTATATTGTTTATTCTTAAAACAATAAAGTGAACAATTAGCTGTTTAATTTCATTAGACGGAAAAAGTATCCTTTGTGTAACTATCAATACGATGTCACACGGGTTGTTTCAGCAATGTCTTCTTGTTTGTTGAAGTTTAAGGAAACTATCTTATTATTATTTTTTTAATATGACGTTATATTTGCTCCGTAATCATATTCAAAATCCAACAACTGACAGCGCGCTAGCAGTGGTCTAATTTGTGCAGTAATAACAAAATAAATGAAAGTTTATAGATGACAGGGAATCTTATGATATTAGCAGCTTATCAAACCTGCGACAGAATTTGAGTGAGACGTAATTTAAATCGATGATATTAAAACTCAATGAAAATTACAATCGTTCCAAGAATCAAGAGAGAAGAATCAGTGCAAGAATGACACTTATCTTATAGTGACATGTAATATACAGATTTAGCCAGGGCAAAAATCGTGTAATGCTAAGCGACTAGGGTAACGAGAATGGCAAAAAAAGAACAAGGTTGAATTAGCGAAAAAAACAACAATTTTGCGCTTGCAGCACACTTTTTTGTACATTTTTTTGACGTTGTTTCGCACGACTACAGCGGGAAACTTTCTAGTTACACTTTTTATAAAGGGAATTTCGTATGTTCTTACACACAAAAAAATTGTTGCGTGTGTTCCTGTTTGCTTTCTCTTTCACTACCGCTCATTTCCACCTTACTGGTCGCTAATATTTCTCATTTTCTCACGACCGCTTTACATGTTGTGTTGCTAACGAAATTAACAGTCTCCTTGGCTTTTTATCTCTCGGTCTAGCCCTTTCTCTGTTATCCACGTCAGCGCAGACATTAAAATGTAGTCGAAAAAAAGACTCCACTTTGTTGTTGTGTTTTTGTTTCTAAAAGTCCGGGTGCCAAGATGAACATAACATGGACGTCTATCATCAAGTTAAACACAGGTTGCAGGTTCCACACAAAAAGTAAATAAGGTCATTCCACACTGGGTACCCTGTGGGGCGGGATGACGAACGTACAATCACGTGACTACCAAAATTTCGAGGAAATTTTCTTATCCATGGTGCTTCGCGGAGATTGTAGAGTGTTCTTATTTGTAAAACAGTGTACCGTGATTATTGTACGTAAAAATACCAAATCAGGTGATTGAGTCGTTCTCATAACCAATTATAAACGGAGAAAATCAAAGATAAGTTCAAATGAAAAAAGTAAAATCTATCTTGAAGAACGAGGAGAATTCATGGTTACTTTGGTACTTGGTTAAGTTTTTAAGTAAATCTGTGTTATTTTGAAGTCTTGTTAACTTTAAGTGCGATATTAAATTTGCAGGCTTTTCACTCTTGTACTAAAAACAAGCGTGCGTGAAGAGATCATACGTTGGTTAATGTCGTACCCAGATCTCTTGTCGGCGAACCTTGGTCGACAAGAGATCTGGGATTACTCGTTGGCTATTGTGACCAGCCAGAATGCATTTACTGGAATGCGCCAAAATTCATGTACTCGCGGAATTTGTCCTATTTTGAAGTCCTTACCGAGAATATACAGTTCCCAAAACTGAACTTTTTAAACCCTATGTAAATAATAGTATCCTTAGAGTATAACCTAACGAACTCACGATCGATCCTTGCGTCGAACACTTAACGCAAGAAAATCCTTAAGGTAATGTTAGACGGGACGATTCGCAACGACGATTTTTAGCACAACACAGCGCTGCAATGTCGGAGCAATGTTGTAACCATTCGAAACAATGTTGTCACAATGTTGCAACACTGTTCTGCGCAAAAAATCGTCGTTGCGAATCGTCTCGTGTAATATCACCTTTAAGGAATGAAACCTTGAGCTTTACCTTGTGGTTTTAGCACCGTCTAATCAGGAAGTAAAGAAATTTTATTCAACAAACTAAAAAGTTACATGCGAATATTGCCAATCAAAAGTGAACACGCGCGTAACTAAACCGGTGACCGCTCTAATTTAGAGATTAAGAATTTTTTAAAGACGTAACAAATATATTACCGTTGCACGCGCCATGTTCAATTGCTCATTGCAATATGAGGAATGAGAAATATCGCTGAAAAAGGTTTAGTTCTCCTTGCGTTGTTGATAACTATTCAACGTTCCTGGCAATTATCCATTCAAATATGGAAAATGCGTAAGTAGAGACAGGAGCCGATTATCGATATTAATGCTAGAGTGTCTGTTTGCATTTGTTTCTTTTTTCTCGGAGAAGAATTGCAGTACCATTGAAAAGCAATCGGCCATTTCCGAGTTCCAACTACACTCACACTTTCAAAACGAGGCTAAGTGCAAAACTTTTCTTGTGAAAATGAGTTTTATTTGCATGAGAATTAATTGCATGAAAATGTTCACATACATCAATGGCTTCACACTTAGCCTCGCTTTAAGACAGAGGCTTGAGGCAGCTCGGAAATGGCCCATTGAAGAAGAACATTCTGTTATAGCTGTCCCCGCTAAGTGCATCACAGACGATGACTGTTTGAAAGGTGAAGCTGTTTGTCTGCGAGGTGAATGCCACTGTACAAACCCACTCGCTCGAGGAGATGGAAGGCTTATTTGTGACTCTTATCGTGAGTATTTTGTTAGTGGTATAAAAACCTTTAAACAGGCTTTCCGTCTTAGAGAAAGGGAGTTTAAAATCGCGAAGAGACGACAGGGAAAAATAAAAGGGGAATGAGGGGAGATTCTTCGCCGCCTTTCCCCCCTCCTTATCCCTCGGGTAGCCCTCGCTTGATTCCCTCGGCGATTCTTCGCTTTTTCCCCCACAACGAACCTGTTCCCAGGCTATACTGGTATTCAGTTTATCACTTCAATCTTTTCGCTAGTTGAATTTTCTCTTTCTCTTTTCTTTCTTTCTTTCCACCCCCTTTTTTTCTTGGTGGGTTTGGTGAGGGCTGTAAGTAATTTCCTCCTCAAAAATGTATTCCAATTTTGATCCGAGTCTCAGAAAGCGACCCTAAAGATGAAGTGGCCGGTACCCGCAGAAATGTAATCAAGTCATGGATCAACATTACCTGGATGCGACAGTCTACCATTGTTCCTATTCCGAATGCGAAAATTAATTGCAAGCAAGAGAAAAACAGTATTTTTACATCTCAATTTAAGTTACGGCTGTTGGTGAATAGAAAGACGAAAATTGCCCTTCCTCAAAACAAAACCTCTGCAAAAATTTAGTTCCACTCCTGAATTGTTCTATCTGGGTGTCTCCTTTCTAAGCCGTAATAATTCCTCAAATAAGTTACTTTCGTCACGAGCACCGTTTTAATCATGGCCTGACTTTGATTTTTTCGTTTGTTTTTCAGTTTTCTACCGATGCCCCCCTTATCATGAAAAGCGCTGTTCATCTAATCCTGGTGAAATATGGTTGCGTGTGACATATACCAGGATATTTCAAAGATAGCTTCAACAAAAGACGTTTACAAACGAAGGACATTTTGGAAGGGCAGGTGTACTCGGATGTTTAAAAGCAGCAGGTAATGTGCGCGCGTATTCTCCACGCGCGCATTTCACATAATGCACCTTGTTCCCAACACCCCACCCCCTCCCCCCCCCTTCCCCTAAAAAAATGCATAAGTATTGCCTTCAATTTCTCTTGACACGTCTGTAACATGAATATGCAGGAGAAATTAGGCAAAAATGTTATGAAAAATTTGGGGAGGACAGATAAGGCGCATTATGTGAATTGCCCATCTTTAGGCCAAATTGACCTCCGCACGGCCAAGAAACGTTGTTCGGGACCTTTACATCTGAAGACGGCGACGGCGGCAAAAAACGTCTCTTAAATAGTGAATTCGCGTTCTTTCAATCTCCATCGCGATTATTCCAACGGATTAACTCATTTTGTAAAAACTGTGCCTGAGTAGAATTCTTAGGAGCAATATCTAATTAAGTTCAGAAAGAGAAAGAATATTTCGTCGTTCCTTGTTTATGTTATCCCTAAAACTAGAAATTTAGACATTTCCAAGTCGTATAGCCGTGCAGGGACGGCAATAAGAAATGAACAAACAAGCGTGATGCATCTGCAAAGTTTAAGCGTTGTTTTGTTAATTTAAACCTATAGCATTTTTTTTACATTTTCGTTGTCGTCACCGGATATTACTCGGTCCCTATTTTCAAGGCCGGGCCCCCATATTATCTTAGGGAGTGGATGGGCGAGACCCCCACCTGCCAATTAAAGAGATATAAATCTACCCACACCACTCTACTTTGTCTCAATACGTTTTATGATTTATTATTAACAGAGGATCCTGATGGCAAGAGACCGTGTTTAGGTGATCAGTATTGTCCGCCATTAGCCTTTTGTAACTCTAAAACCAAAAGATGCCAGTGCAGGCACGGTCTCGTAGGAAATGGCGTCACATGCCGACCAGGTGAGAATACAGTTGCTGTTCACTTTTTATTCATTTGAATTTATGAAGGAATTAGCGAAGTCTTGCCCTCAAACGGTTCTGTTCTCAGGCAGTGGATTTCCCTTGACAGGCCATTTCCGAGTTCCAAAAAATCTCACTTTTAAAACGAGGCTAAGTGCGACATAAATAAAAATCATTTTCATATCAATGGCTTCGCACTTAGCCTCTCTTTCAAAGTGAGATTTTTTGGAACTCGGAAATGGCCTACTCAGTTGGTAGTGCATATTAGCGCTAACACAGAGGTTATGGGTTCGAATCCTGTTGAAGCCCTAAAATTGTTTGGGCTTAAGTTGCACTTTCTCAAATTACAATTACCACATGACTGTGATGGTCATGTCTACATTTAGATTTTTCCCTTGCCTCGTCCTTGCGATTTTTAGCCCTGTTCCTTCAAACGGAGAACCTGTTCACAGGATACCCATCCTAGGTGGAGAAGCATTGTCTCTGGGGACTTTCCTACAGAAACAATGTTAGGCTATGGTGAGCCTGTGGGCCTGTGTTAGGCTGAATCTTCTTTTTTTGCCCATTCATAGCGCCTGGGAGGACCGGATGCAAAAGCAACAGTGATTGTAAGGTATGGGCTGAATGCACAGATGGAACTTGTCACTGTCGGGCTGAGCTACAAGGTGATGGAAATACCTGCAACAAAGGTGGGAAGGTGCATTCCATGGTGCTGTGAGTACTTAGTTTAACTATAGCTTTTTTATGGGATTATAGCAGCTTTACATAGTCGCCCGTACACAAGAAAACTAGTTCGCATGCATCACTTGTATCCGTCCAAACGTTAGCTGAGCACATGCACAAGTCCATTGAACTGATACATACGCACATGAACTTTAACACTTAGCATTTACCAGTAGCTATAAATGTCAGCAAATTATGTCTGAGAAAAGGAGAATAAATAAACAGGATACAGTAAAGAGAAAAGAGTCAGCGCCAACAACGAAGTATAACTTGAGTCACGCCAGTAAGCAGTGAAAGAAATCCCACTAGTCCTTAGTCACAAAAAGAGGATCAGGTGATAAATAGACTGTATTATTTGCAGCAAATTTAAGCTATCGAAAATGATGGTTGAAAAGTTTCGTTAGATGGCTGTGGTGCTCTAATAGCGATTTGCAGGCTCCGTTCAATTCCGGCTGCAATGAAATCAAGACGACATGTGAAGCATTTTGGACTATGTCGTATCATTACTAACCTGCGCCCCTTGTTTTGTTCCTGCAGCACCGCGAAAGAAGTGCAAAGCAAAGCAAGACTGCCATCCTCATGCCAGTTGCATGAATGGACACTGTGTCTGTTCCGATATGGCGGGAAATGGAGAGTACTGTAGAAAACGTAATGTCTATTTAAGTAGCAATTAATAAATAATAATTTTTTTATAGCATAACACGTACACTGCACTGTAATATCGTACGATGTAAGTATTGTCTATTTGGCGAGTTAATTAGGGATTTTGAAATAGCCGAAGGATAGGTGACAACATGCCCTGTCCCTGATGGTCTTGTTCAAGTTGCCTTCTGTTTAAGGTATAGAATGTTGTAGACCACAGAGTTGGTGGCAAACTTGTTCTTGGAGGCTTCGATCCGTTTGGTCAGCGCACTAAGTATCCCCGAGAGAAGCCAAATAAGGCTATGGCTTTGATTGGCAGCTTGTTCTCTTGACGGCAGCCAGCAGGTTCTCCTTTGCAGCGTAGTGAGACTGAAAATACACTCGCAGTTGGCACCTAACTCTAAATATGCCTATCTGTACAACCAAGTAGAATTTGCGCTCATTACTAATCTACTTGTAAAATTTTTCTTGTCCCATTACAACCAGAATGGCTGCCTTGCGTTAAAAATTGGTGCGGTTTAAATGATCATTGTGCGATGGATCCCATTCACCCACAGCATCACTGGTGTTTATGTAGAATCGGAACTGATGAACACGGAAATTGCGTAGGTGAGCAATGTCTAATTTACCCTGGGTACCAGAGGTTTTTTCTCGCGTGCGTCGGGGAGCTTCGGGCAGACACGTGTTCGGCCGAAGGCCGAAGACACGAGCAGCGACCAAAAGCGGAAACCGCGCATGAAAAGCCTCTGGCACCCAGGGTATGTCTAATTTATTCAATATTTCACTTGTTTAATAGTGGTCAATGGCTTTGTTGTTGTTGTTTTTTTTTTGCGAAAATAGGGGGCTTAAACCTCCTCTCATCCCTTTTTCTAAGAATTTAGTAAACTGTCTTATGATCAATTTCTAGATATATAAATTTCAAGAAACTAAGCCACTGCCAAAAAGCCTGGCTATACTCTTGGCGTTTATTCTCGATATATGCCTAGTAATTGCTTGATCTCCTCAGATTCAAGGGATTGCGACTAAAAGAAAAGGCTTTTGGACAGTCTGAGGTTATGCGTGTGACCATGGGTGTTTATGACTTGGTTGGTGCTCCACTGTGTCGGATTGCACTATATTGTTTTAGGGAAGCTGTATATTGCGAGACTACGAACACAAGAGACTGGGTCAAACTTTACGTCCGAAACAGTCGCACAATGCAATTGGACAAAAACACTGACACACTTTTACCCGAAACTTAAACATTTTGCATTGGTAAACTAAATTTTCCGCCCTGTTTCACAGAATGTTTCACAGACGGTCACTGTGGAAGCATTAATGGAAGGTGTATCAGAAATAAATGCCACTGCCAAGATGAACTCATTTTGAGTCATAGTCGCTGTATTCAGAATAGTAAGTCAAAATGTCAACCTGCTCACTCTGCCTTACATTCAGTAATTTACGCATTTTTGTGTGTGTTTATGTATAGCTTAAAACATTTACCTCTACATCAGATTGCCACTGTGTCATCTATCGCGGATTAACGTAAACAAAGTTGTTTCATGATACATTCGCCACTTTAGAAACGAGAAAGAAACTAAGCGCCGTTAACTGTCGCAAAGACACCTTGGGCTGTTATTAATGATAGGGAAAAATTGGCCAATAGCTGACCGGCGTGTCCCGACTAACTATCCCAGAAACAATTGCGGGACACATTTTTAGTTTCGGCACCAGTCCCCTTATCGTTTCTTAAGAGGTGATGACGTAAATTCTCAGAAACTCACAAGTTTCCATCAAATCACTGAATCATGAAACGACTCACTGCTTTCAGCAGTTGCTGCACTCAGTTACGATGTGATCATTATAAAAATGTCAGAAGACAAGATTAGTTTGCTTGGATCTTGGTCATAAATCGTTTCATGCAAGTGATCAGCTCGCATAGCTTGTTGGCGGTCTTCTGATGTAGTCGTCTTCAGCCGGAAATTATTTCATAAAAAAGCCGGCAAAAATGAGTCAGGTACTTGTACAAACAAAGGCTAAACGATAATAACCCTTGTATAGCTTAATCATTTGCAACTATTTTTTAAACCTGATCAGGAGCCGTGGCTCTGATTCTTATAGATCTTGCAGGAAAACGCTTTATGGCGCAATGTTTTGCATTAGGCCTTGTGCAAATTACAGGACGTGGGCGCTATCCTTTTTTTCTGAGCCACGGTGCTTCCTGTTGTCCTCGAATTTTTATTTTTAAATAATCTCTTGCAGAACACCGTCCGGTGTGTAAGAAAGACAATCATTGTCACCCGAAAGCTAAATGCGAAGACGGGAGGTGTATGTGCCAGGGAAGAACCGTGGGCAATGGGGAATACTGTCGTGGTATGTTACTCTACCAATATCAACACTGAAGCACACCTACCAACTCCGCGGTTTAACTCCGCGGTATGGCGAGTATGTTACGCATGCGCACAACCATAATTACAGACGTAACCCGGGAATTTTTCGTATTCGGCCGTATTATTAACTTAAAGAGTGTGTGAATGGCAAAGCAGTCAAAGGATAGTTTCACGAAGTATACCATTTAGACTTCATTTGAAAAAGCTATATTATTTTGAAATCGAGTATTTACGAATTTTTTTCTCAATTTTGTATTTTAGATCGTTTCCTGACAGGCTTCTTGACCAACCCGTACACATTCTTCAAACCACTGAAACCACTTACGCAGCCTCTTGGTGATTTAGGTGACCCTTTACCAGTAACGTTCACAATGTTTCCTATAATGGATCTTTTTCCCAGGGGATGTGTAGGTAGGGCCCAGTCCCTCTTCCATCTTTCTCATCCTCTGGTAATCTCTTCCCCAGATCTTACTTACAAAACCTAAAGTGCGACAGATACCGGTGTGATCTTTACACGGGATAACGATATATCTTAATTAACACTGTGGAGGGTTGAACCAAGGAGTCATTTCACAAGTGTAAGTAGGTTGAGTACGATCGCCCGGGTAAACGGTGACTCACGTTTCATCGGAGCGGTAGTCATCTTTAGAGTCAAAGTGAGTTGTATCAAACGTCAGTTAATGGTATTAAACTCTTGTTATTGAACTGATTGCTCAATTAAGTCGCGATTTCATTGGTCCTCTGTCAGTTAAGCCGTGATGTCATTGGCTATGAAGACTCGTAAGCTCATTGGTACGTTTCGATCCGTCTATTGTCTTAGTTAAACAGTCGTTCACTGTTGGTCAAATTGTCGGTTGTCCAGTCGTTCTCTTGTAGTTAGTTTTGCTTGATTCCGTCAATAAGTCGTTTGTACGGTGCCGGTAACTGTTGACTACGATTCATTGGCGTAGTTGATTGCCGCTTTTCGTCCTCTTTTTTCTTTAGAATGTCAAAAAAGCGAAGAATGTGCTAGCAATGCATATTGTGACTGGTTTGCTTGCAAGTGCAAAGATGAGCTTATAAAGAACGGAAAACAGTGCCTGCCAGGTAAGATATAGAATTAACTTTATTCTTTAATTTACTTCTTAGGTGTTTCTTTCTCAAAAACATGTCGCTTTGTGTTGACCGAAGCACGGCTAAACTTGAACATATGAATATATTTTTTATTTTTTCCACGGGCTCTTAAACGACAGTGGGTTAGTTCGTAATGCCTCATGCACTTCAGAAACTCAAGGGAGAAAAGGTACAAGCTTTCGGTGCAATGATTTCTGGGATCATTTGGGTGGATAAGCGTTACTTATGATTGGTCGATGGTATTCAAGGCAAACATCAACCAATCATAAGCAACGCTTGTCCACCCAAACGATCCCAGAAATCCTTGCGGCAAAGGCCTCTACCCATTCTCCTTAAAGAGCAAGTGGAGAATACTCATGCGCGGATCTAGGATAAATACTGACCGATTTCCTAAAAAAGCGTCGAGGACGCAAGCTTCTAGAGAGGTCCAGGGGATGCGCTCCAGTGAAATGTTTTTGATTTCAACTTCCTTAAGTCACCGTTCCTGGGTTTTTGAGTCATTCAGACAGAATATTGGCCAGATGTTAATTTGAATTTTTTTTTCATGAAAAATATACTTATTTATGAAAAGTCTGACCGATGCTGATTAATGCATGCACGAGTTTAAGACGAAAAGTTTCCAATTTTATTCAAATCAATCTCTTTAAATCTTCGAAATATCTACCAATTACGTACTTACTTCAACTTGGTACAGAAAAATCAGACATAACAATAACAATAACTGGGAGAATCATTTGTCTTGACGCAGCCCCTCTGCAAAAATGTAAACAGGCCAGTGAATGCCATCCTAAAGCCAAGTGTTTCTTTGGAAATTGCATCTGCCAAGGAAGTACAACAGGCAATGGCAAATTCTGCAGAGGTGAGTAAAGCCTAATTATTGCTAGTGAAGCGAGCCGCGAATTAACCGAAAGAACGCGCGAGCGAGCGGCCCTCCCCCGTTGGCAATCGCGTCTCCTTTCGCGCGCGACTCTCGCGACTCCCCCAAATGGACAGCTTACTCGCAGGCTAGGTATCCTTATATTTGTACGGATCGTTTCGACAGTTACAGTCATTTCATATAAACGTTTGACACATTCGAAACGGGGGATTTTTTTGTTCAAGGGGGGCAAGGGTGAGGTCGATTAGTTTTGTGGCAAATGTGCGCAATATACACATCCGCCACTATGCAATAGCTGTGCAAGGCTATATAGTGCAATATATGACGTTATCCGTCCGTATAACTTTCTCTTTTTCTTGACAGATGCTGTGCCATGTTCTAACGCTACTCTGTTATTATGTGGAGGAAAAGCTTCATGTCTGGCCGATCCACTTCTGCCTCAAATTCCTATTTGCAGGTGCCATAAGGGCTTTAGACTGTCTAAGAATAAAACGTGTGAAGGTAGGATACTGAATAAATGAAACCTGTTGGCTTTCTGTTCTTCTCGGATAAGGACGATAAACCTTAGGCCCCGTCGCACAACCCTTGCACATACAATAAATTCTGAGGGACGTCATAGAACCGACACACTGTTCGTAAAGAGTAGGAGACGTGTCCCTGGTGTACAATGGAGTGGTCTATCTCAAATTTACGCTCATATTAAGGGAGACATAATTCATTACTACTGTTGGTTACTTGTAAACTTCAGCACGAGCAATCTGGCAAAAGTCCTCCAACCAATGTTGTAAATTATCCCTGAAAACTCTCCTGAGGTCAATGGATAACAACATATTTACTATTTCTAATTACTAACCAAGCTCCCGGGTCCCCGCCACAGCGATTCTAATGACAGATTATCTCACTTGTTGGATCATCACGTTGTTGTCAGACTCATTCCACCGTCTGTTCATCATCCTATGACGCTTAACCGCACCGACATTTCATCATTTGGGCCTTTTGCTAGTAAAGAAGTGTACGACTCAATTTTTCCATAATTCACCCAGGGCTGAATATGGATGAAACGACATGTGTTTTTACGTCGCAGATATCGATGAGTGCAAAACTTTGAAGGCAAGATGTGGAAATCGTTGTCGAAATACAGTTGGTTCATACTATTGCGACCAGTGTCCTCGGGGATTCACCGAGGGACGAGATGGAGTATGTATAGGTCAGTTGCGGCCTTATGAGCTCCCTGAATATCATTTCACAATATAGAAAAAATTTCCCATAATTTTCCCATAATTTTCTCAGGCCCGCGGCCTCCTCACTTCACCCCCGCTGGATTGAAGAAGAGAGGCACTGGGGATGAAAAAGAAAGTTTATGACAACATTTTAAAAACTGCATCATGACCAAACTGACTGGGCACGAGTTGATGGCTGCTACCCAAAATAAACATTGCCAAATGCCAATGTTTTTTCTGCGCAAATTTTCGCCCTACCTCCAAAATGAGCGGCGAATTCATAGAGCAGAGCGTCGTTTAAATATCTTTTTATGATATGAACTGCTCTCTATTCACTCCAACTATTTTTCAACCTGTCAGCCTCAGACGAATGTGATTGCGAAGAGAATGAAGAGTGTTATGAAGGTGACTGCTACTGTGCTGAGGCCTATGACAGAGATGAGTTTGGAAAATGTGTCTCTATGGATAACGGTGAGAGCTTCCGTTAACGTCTGATCAGGCGTGAAAGCTTTGATTTTTGTGCCCCTTGGGCTATCTTCTCGTTCACAGAAGAGACCTTTAGTTTCGAGAACGAGGACGACTATGTGAACGACTACGAGGAGGAGGGAGGTACAGGAGGGTTAATCTCCCTCCTCCCTACTTTTTCACCCCGATTTCTCCCTCCTCCTTACTTTTTCAGGCCATTTCTCCCTCCTCCCTATTGTGTACCTCCCCCCTCTACGAGGACGATTACGAGAACAGAGATTTAACTTAAGCGTTTTTCGCGTATTCTCACCAAATAGACACCCCGGAAAGCTTGTACTTTTTTTCACCAGAAAAGTAAGTACGGATATTTTTAATTTATTGAAGGAGGTAGAGCCCTCTCTTGACTGAAAAATGATAATACCCATGACAACCACGGCTATCATGTTTTCCTCCAAAATATATAACCCTCAGTGGTTTAGATTCGCGCACTACTAGGTGTTGAGAAAATATCATTCTTGTAGTACTCGTCTTAGAAAAACATGTCAATAGTGAGTTGTTTGAAGGCCGATTACCACTAACCCAGGGTTAAATTTAATATGGGTTTCCTTTTTTTTTCGTTCAACAGCACTTTCTCGAAAAATTTTCTTAATTCTTTTTTCAACATTCAGTCATTAAATTGAAGACAAAAAAAACTGAATTTGCTTTTTAAGCTTTCATTTCTTCTGAAACCAAATTTTGCACTAACCCTGTGTTATCCCTCTTAACCTAGCTCAGTGAACACTCCGTCCCAGGAGCTTACATTATCAGTTCTAATTGTATTTACTTTGTTACAGGATTGCTTCTGAGTGGCGCACAGTCGATCCAGGTTTCTTTCTTTCACGAATTCTTGATCCTGTTTGTATTGTCCGCAAATCTTGCTATGTTGGTTGAATTCCTTTAGCAATGCGTTTCAAAGTAACGGTTTTGCTCGATATTTTTATACCCGGCAGCACTTGTAAATAAAGACGATACTGTCATATATTCAATTTTTATTTGTCCCTCCTAATGAACAATTTCCCGTATTCATTTTGATTACAGCTGACTGCTCCCGGTTTCGTTGAAGTGTATTTCAATGACATAAAATAAACCACTTATGCTTGTGATAGAGGTCACCAATTGTATTAGATCCTGATAAGGTTTTACTGATAGCTAGTATAAGACGCATTTTCAATAAATAGAGATCGAGATAGTTAGCTAGAGGCCAGAACTACCTAATGCACAGACACTTCCTTCTGGGTTTTCAAGTCTTGACTTGTTTAAATGTCATTAAAATAAGATTAATTCAAGGTCAAAAATGTCATCAAAGCCTACACAGTTTACCCTTCTTAGGGTAAAAAAGAGACAGAAAATCCAGAGCAGTTTTCAAAAAAGGATTACAGCGCACTTTACCTTTCCGGAAATAACAACAAAATTCAGACTGAATCATTTTATTAGGTTGTGTACATGTGTGTTATACAAATACGGAAAGTCAAAAAAAAGGTCAACTGACAAGTGAAAAAAATTTCAACGGCGTTCACAAAACATCAAAAGTGAAAGTAGTAGCAAACGTCAGATTCATGCAGTTAAGGCAAGACCTCCAAGCAGGACACTTGTCAGAAGGGTTACATGACCTGAAGACTTGGTGGAATAAGCGTCACCCTTGATCTTGGAAAGCGCTAGGAAAAAGAGATTCTGTTAACAAGACCAAGTGACAAGTGAAAGGATCCTTGATAGTTTTTGTGGGAAGGGTGTGAGAAAGAAGTGAAATGTAAGCCCTTAAGGAAACAAAAAAGATAATATAAAAGGCGTACAGTATTTGATGTTATATTGCAATTATAGTTGAACCTGTCCTCAAAGGCCTTGGGAATAGAAGAAAGTGGCTGCTGTAAAGAGGTGGCCGTTGTAGAGAGGTGAAAACAAGTGTCAATTATGGACTGTCCGCCAAAAATGTGGTCCTTGTAGAGAGGTGGCCGTTCGTAGAAGTTCAACTGTAATAAGTGAGACACAAACCTTTAACCTGTACGCATTTCCCTTGTTTCTTGATATAGCCGTTCTTGCATTTGCAATTTCCATTTTTGTCACATTTGTCATGTTTTCTGCATTTGCACACTGAAAAATCAATACAAAAACGTCCTCTATTGGACAAAGTGTTAAGATGAAACATTGCTGAATGAAGAACTACTGAGGGCGTACTTTATTGAGGCCAGGAAAGCTTGTTGCACCTTCAAGTCCGTACATTTTTTTGAAGAATTATTTGAGAGCATTGGTTTAAAACTCAATACAAAGGATTTTGTTTTTAGTGATCAGTTCATAAATTCCCATAACCTTCTCTCTTGATAATACATTGATATCGTAAGGAGAAAATTGATGTTGGTCATTTCCGGGACGTAAGGGTGATGTTACACGAGACGATTCGAAACGACGATTTCGAGCACAGCACAGTGTAGTAATGTTGGAACGATGTTGCAACCATTCGGAACAATGTTGCAACAATGTTGTAATACTGTCTTGCGTTAAAAAACGTCGTTGCGAATCGTCCCGTGTGACATCACCTTAAAGGGTTAACCCTAGAGAACATCGATTCATGATAGGAATTTTAAGCGGTATGTTCCCATTGTGTTGTCTACGAGGTTCAACAACTGGATGTTAGCTTTGCATCTCCTTGATTAAATCCACAAAAGTACCAAACCCGTACATGAACAGTCAACAAAGTCTTCTGTTAATGTCGGAAATGTGTCAAAAATAAGCTGCTTCTTTAAACTTATTTTTTAGTGCAGTTAGCACCACGTACAGGTTTGCGCGTCATGGATGAAGTGTTATGAGTAATCCGACGAAAGACAAACTTTTACCCTTAGTGCACTCGTCGTCAGCTGCACCATTCTTTTTTTCATATCCCGCTTTGCACTTGCAATTGTAGGAGCCCTGACTGTTTATACATTGCTGGGTGTCTTTCATACAAGTAGTTCTACACTCGTCAACATCTGAAGGAAAGAAAAAGTTGGCCATAATAAGTTGGTTTGGGAGAGAGGAATAACTAGGGAACAAGGGACATGACTAAGAGAGAACATTTCACAAAACAGTTTCCGCTTGTTAATCATTATGTGATATCGTCCAACTGACAGAAATAACCATAAGCGCTCCCAGCGTAAATAGAACCAAGTAACTGGCCGGTATAATAGTAGTATAAAAAACTGTGGAAATTGCATTTTGTTCACCGGGGAGGTTTCGGACCCTAACCCTGTATGTGCTAGTTAGATGTGATAATCATTACACTACAGGTGACCCAAAGTCACCAGCGTTTGTTGACTAAATTCTGCAAGGAGAAAAAATAGTTGAAATGATATAAATCTTACCTCTGCACACGCCTCCATCGTCAAAATAACCAACGTGGCAGGTACATTCGTTTCCTGTTAGGCATTCACCATGTGCTCCACAACTGCAGTCAGCTGGAATATATCGTAAAATGATTTTTTAATCCCCATAATATTTGAACCACCTTCGGTAAAGCAAATCGGAAGTGCAATTATAGTGTTGGACTGGTGAAAGGAAGCTTGGTTTAGTTCGAATTATCGGGAATTTCGAAAAAACCGAATGTTGAGTATTTCGAGAAACGTTGTCGGAAAAAAAGTGCACGCGACAATCCCGAAAGGTAATATGGGATATGATCAATACACTGTTCCTGACACTGTATAGTTGTTAAGCCCACTTTTGTTTCTTTCCTTTAATTAGCACTCACAAACATACCTCAATACTGTTTTCGGGATTGTCGCGCGTACTCTTTCCGACCTTTCTCGAAATATAATTGTGTATCTGAAGCGCAGCAAAGTAACTGAATATTTTCCAAAAAAATATCGTTAAGTTTGTGTCGCTTCGCTATAATAGCAAGATGAAATTCAGAACACAAGTTTAATTAAGGAAACCTAATTCAGATCCCTCTTGCATGAACAACCCGCAGTCGGCTAGGCGTGCATTTCTTCGCCAGTTTCATCTTTATTAGTCCTTGCTCTTGTCAAGATAATTGCGAACAGATTATACACAGATACATGAAGCGATGAATAACTATGAATATACATTACTTTAACTCGCAGCTGATACTAACCAATACAGATGCCATTTTCATCATCTTTAAAGCCATTCTTGCAAGTGCACTTGTAAGTACCTTCTGTGTTCTCACACACTTTGTCTTCCGGACAACTCTGCTTATTTCTGCATTCGTCAATGTCTGAAAACGTTATTGACCGCAAACAAAAGGTTCATTCCATTATTTCTTTATTCACCGTAAATCCAGTCTATTAAGCTCCGCCTTTTCTGGGGAAAAGTTATTAAGATCCTTTTCCCCCTGTTAAGCCCTTCCCACCTCCCCCATATTCTTAAATAATAGACTGCATTAATTAATCACGACTGCAATATTTCATGTGGAATCAGCTAGTCCCTGGCTCGTTCAATCCTGGATATTATCGTGAACTGTGACGTCACCGAGAGAGACTCGCCCTCTCTCGCCCGCTCTTTCCCAGACTTTGCGCGGACAACGGGGAGGAGAGAACGCCTAGGGGCTAGGCTAATGTGGACTGATCCAGTATGGTTAACCTACGGGAATTCGGATTTGATTTTGATCTTCGGATGCAAATGATCGCCAACTTCATAGATTTACCTCTGGGAATTTGGGTTTTAGTTTGTTTTTCCGATTCAAAAAGTCCCCCACTTCACAGCCCCCCCCCCCCTTTCAAACATGCTGGAAAAAAAAAAACCCCCCCCCCCCCCCCTCCTCGAAAGGAAGGTTAATGAAGGATTTGTGGAAGCTCTGCCTTCTGCTTTGCGGCAAGTCTTTGTTTTTGTACGAGCCATCAAAATGTAAACGCGACCATGTTTGTGGAATAAGACCGGGGTAAGTTGTTTACCACTCGCATAGCACTTCTTCGCGTAACAATGGGCGTTTTGCCTCAAAAATCCGAGTGTGAAAGCGACTTCTTTGTTGCCTAATATGAAATTAAATGATCAACTGGGTTTAGAAGTGACTATTCAAGTTTCATAAATTGGTCATTGGTATTTCCTTTTATTCATATAACTGAGATTTGGTATTCTCTGCTAAATTAACCTTGCTAAGCGACCAGGGTTTAAATTTCGGCTTTAGGGTTACCTTCACATTTTCTGTTTTGTCCCCTTGGCCTTTCAGCCATCTTTAATCCACTCTTACAGACACATTTGTAAGAACCGTCGTTTCTTTTTTGGCAGGATGCTCCACGAGGGCAAAAATCTCCACGCCTTTCACACTCGCTCAAAGCTGAAAATATCACAATTTTGCAAAAGATATGTAACTCTGAAAAAGTGTACTGAGTAACTATTTAAACTGCTCTTTTTATTTGCACAACAATATCAAAAAAACTGATTGTTGTTCTCTATCCAGAGTCACTGTGAAAATGATGTAGATTGTCTCGACAGTGAAGAAGACTATATTTACGTATCCGCATATACACAAAGAAAAAATACTTTCTCAAATTGTCTTTGAAATCTGATTACGATAGGGAGATGATATAATTATTTTGCGTCATGAAAATAATAAAAACAAAAAATAAAGCAAAACAAAAATCACTTTCAAATTCATCTGAGGGGACATTAAATTAAAGCTCACCTCCTGGTAAAAATGTAATGATCGACGAAACCATTGCACTTTCACATTACGGATATTTCTCTACACAAATCAGTATTTTTATAAATTGTCAAATTCCGCATGATGTTAGAGCTTCATGATTTATCACTTGAGATTGCTGGTAACATGCGTTTAGATAAAAAATTTTAATGCAGAAGCGCCCTGTTAGCTCAGTTGGGAGAGCGGTGGTCTGCCGAGCAGGAGGACGTGGGCTCAAACACCCCGGCCAGACCAACAATAAGGGCCTTAAACAACCCGTGAGATTATACTAGCTGTGACTTGTTTCGGTTCAGATTATCGTGTCATTGGGCGGTGACGTTAAGCCGTTGGCCATGTCTCCTTCATCTTTTCTTATCAATTGGAACGGGAAAAAGAACTTTTATTAACTGCTGTTCAAAAAGAGTTGGGGACGTAGACCCCAGCGGCGAGGTCTATCTCTCATGGGGGTAAGGAACTGTTACGGTCCCGCAGTAATTGGCGTCATACCGTTGAGGCGAACCTGCCAAAATTAGCGAATCAAGTACAACAGACTTACCAGAACACAAATCAGGGAATAGAGGATCGACCAAACAAACTTTACTGAACCCACAGTAGTTTTTACCTTTCGGGCACGGCTGGAGCTCTGTAATGAAAATAATACTAGGATCATGTTCCTAATTGGTCCATACCAGGTCCACACAGGCTAAATACCTGCCTCCACATCCTCTCCCTCCCCACCCTCTCCTCCCTCTCGGGCACCAATGTCAGTTTAAAATTGCAATTTTTAATACTTATGCGTGCATGCCTTCACAGATAGATTCGTACAACTGAATAGTTCATATTTGTAAAACTTAAATTTACGACGAAATGTCAGGGGCAAGCATTAGTAGTATACGTGTCTTCATAAATTTTGGCAGTTTAGGGCCCAAATTTCCAAGCCGGCTTGCACATTTCGCATTTTCTCTTAATTCATTGTTGATAAACCAATCCGATCCGATCATTTAAACAAAACAAAGAAAACAAGTTCCCGTGACGTCACCGTCAGTCTGTACTCTAATCGATAATGGACAAAGACAAATCACAGCGAGCGTAACGCGTGTCATTTTACTACATTGCATAACGTAAAAGAGACAATAAATAGAGATTATTAGATACTCACTTCGACAATCCTCCCTGCCACCTCCACAAGTTTTTCCTTTGCAAATGCATTTTTTGTCTATACAGCTAGCACTCTCGTGGCAATCAGTGTCACTCTCACATTCGGCTGTTGGTGCTAGGGCGTCGAAAAAACGTGTGACAGAAAAAGTGAGCGAGAATAAATTCTTTCTTAACTTCCACTTGCAGAAACCAAAACTATTGGATCTCCCTTTGCTAGCCTTCTGTGCGTTTTTTTTCTCACGCGTTAGACACGCAGTCCTCAGGCATCTGAAGAGGGGAGCACAGTATCATGATATTGCTAAAGATCAGAGAAGAGAGATCCGAGAATTTATTTCGCGAGTTGGGTTGGATCTCCTTGATTGAACGTTGGAATTTCCTTTGATAAGTACGTATTCAAATGGTTAAATGGTCTCTGCCCGCTTTATCTTCGTGACCTATTTCCCGCAATTGCGATACACATAACTATGTGTGCAAGTTCTAAACTAAGTATGTGAAAGGGGTACCATTTGTCAATAGAAGGCACTAGGGGTTCCTTTTCTGCCAAAAATGGTATCTAAAAGGGAGGGGTTGGACCTCGGGGCAGGAGTATGGGAATTGCACGCTCCTGGTTTCGGGCTCCTGTGTTTATTGACCCCTTAATTTTTAAAACTTACCAAGTTTACAAGTTCTTCCATCTCCTATAAGATCGCTTTTGCATTTGCACGTTCCTTCCAGGTTGTTGCAGTAAGACTGATGAGGACATTGGTCATCCCTGCTGCAAATCCGTCCTTTTCCATAATCTTTTTGCCGAACTAAACGGGAAAACAATTTACCTATAGTCATTTAAGCTACTTGTCCCTTTCGTGAAGTGGACGTTTTAGCAAACTTAAACAACCACAAGTTCTTAAGATGGAGAGTGGGTATTCGAAAAAGGAGGCGCTTTCGAGAGAAACTCCGTTAAAGTTCGAAATGACTGGAAGGTGTATGATACGTTGCCTCTTCTTAAGATAAAACTATTTAGAAGAACCATAACAAGCCAAACATATATAAATTTCATTTATATTGATAGATCGATGTACGGAGAGGTAATTTGCCGTACCAATTATTTCGCAACACTCAAATGAAGCCTCCAAAATAATAAGGTTTATTACTTACGGGATTCGTGCGATGTATATTTGAATCCAGAAGTTCGTAAAATTTGGCGCGAGAAGCTAATCACCACAATAACGACAATCAATTTGGTTCTCATTTTTTGGTTTCTTTCAGGGCGTTCGTACAACGCACGATCGGTTTACGATTACTTCGTCAACTGACCCTTAGCTCGGATCTGTATTAATTTGTAGTTGAACGTCTTGCTTCAAATAATACGTGGTAAAATTTAGAGCGTTGTCTGGCTTCATTCCAAATAAAAGTCAATCCGGCGCTGAAGTCTACAAAACCGTTCTAAATGTCGAAGAAACAGTTTACCACACTAGCGGTAACCATGTCAACACTAAATAATTGTTAGTGACGCGAATTTTCTAATTTCCTCGTCTTCAGATTTTGCACGTAAATGGGCTGATTTAGCAACAGGACGGGAACGTCATTTGACGACGGGAAAGCGCGCGGAAAGGACTAAACACGACTTCGGTGCTCAATTTGCCCCTCTGCCATTGGTCAAGCCAGTTGTTTGATTTGCGCGCGCTGTCTTCAACTGACGTTCCCGTTCTGTTGCTAAATCAGCCAAATGTGCATATTTTAGATCACTGCAAAATATGACTGGAAACGAACTTCGTGCCTGATTGAAAATCGCAAATTGTGTAGACTGGGGCGAGTGGCGCATAAAATGACGGGAGAACCACGCGAACGAGAGCGCCTTAGGCTGAGCTGTTCGATTTTATCATGTGAATGCACAACGAACGTCACTCTGGAAAGAAAACTCATTCCGGAATGAAAGACATTCCTGTATTATATAACTGCCCGTTATTCGTGCTTACAAACTGTGACCAAAAGACCCACTGCATTTTGTTATCTGAACTCCGGGAACCCAGGCAAACCTCTTCAGCAAAGTCAGGGTACCAAATTCATCTTTTCAATCGAGAATGCTGTCGTCATAGAATCAAGCTATTTGTTGACGATGCTACTACTTCGAAACGCGATTTGGATCTCCTTGCCGAAGAAAACTGAAAACAAAATTAAGTCAATTTCCCTTATGGGATCGCCCACAAAGAAAAAAAAAACCCGCGCGCAACCCATCAACTGCCGACGTCACAACTGCTAATTCTTGCAACAAATAGGTGCACAGGAATTCAGGCTACTGAAAAAATTAATGTAGCATATAATTTTCTGTTTGTTATGTATTCAAATCTCGTATATGTAATGTCATCTTTTATCTGTATTCACTTTTCTTTTACAGTCCTCGTTGAAGGTTTGTGTTGCAAACCGAAAAATCGGGCAAATATAATTCACCACTATTTTTTGTTTTATTATTTTATTTTTTCTATCTCTCTTCCTGCCGTAAGGATCAGTTTACTGTTTTAAGTTTAAAATTTGGTACTCAAGATTTTACTGATCCAGGCGGCCTAAAGATCCGATGGACCCGCACTGGTTTGTCGTTGTGGTTTTGCCCTCACAAGTGGTTCTGTTACATAACTAACCCAGACTCGCGGCAGTTTAGCTGAATGCTTGGAACAGGCTTATCTCTTTAGGGTGGGAAATTCATTTTCAAGAACATTATAGCATCAAATTCTATCTGGTGATGTTATTGCCGTGTTTCGGAATGTGTTGTAGGTCTCTTTGCCGATGCAAGCCTCACAAAAAAACATTCAGTCTCAATCTCTCTTCTCATGATGACGCACAAGGAAACGCGCGCAAACGTCACAATTGCTGATATGTCCAAAATAATATTAAAGAAAAAGGAGAATTCAAACACCAGAAAGCTCAGGAAAACTTTCCGACTTCCAGGTGAGAATCGAATTCAGGACTCTACATACATGACCGCTCTTTTTTTAACGATGTCTACATAGACTAAACTAGCTGAACTAGCGCGCGATAGACGTGCCTTTCGTTTTATTGAAACAAAATGGCAAATAGCAAATATTAGCCTCTGTCAACTAGTTTTAATAAATCGAGCAATAAAGCGCGAAAAAAAGAAAACATGTGCCAAGGATCGACCGAAAACGACAATTTCACTAAAATTACGCACCGGGTTTATAAAGTTCTCTGGTAATTAGATTTAATTAGCACGAAACAGAAGATAATTGAAAATAGAAAGTAAAAAAGTTAAATGGAGAAGTAATGAAACATTTCCTCAACCGAGTCTAGAGCTTGAAAGTGTAGAAAATATCCCTGAAAATGGGAAAGGTCACCAAATGGATTGTGACGTTGCTGTTGATCTGTTTTTTCACAAGCAATTTGGCATTGGGGAATAGCGAAAAGGAAGATCGTAAGTCTTCAATCTTGCATGTACCTAGCCTGCAGTGCAGGCGTATTTTGGGCGGGCGAAACCTTGTTCGTGTTCGTAATATTGTTGTAGCCGCCATCTTTGATTTTATGACAGTGGAAGATTGGGGAGAGTATCACATGGCGCTTTCGCGAGCAAATTGCGCGCTCAAAGAAAACGCCTGCACTGCAGGCTAGCATGTACTACACTGTTCTTTAATGTGCTTATGACTTCTAACGCAAAAGATAAAAGTAGAAACCTGGTCCCAGTTGTTCAAAAGCTGGATAGCCATATCCATCGGATAAATCTCTATCCAGTAGATAAGTATTAGAGAAACCAATTGCACTATCCAGTGGATAGTGATTTCTCCGGTGGATAGCGCTATCCACCTTTTGAACAACTAGGGCCTGAACATCATGCGCATTCTGATAAGAGGCAATAAAAATTTAAAAAAGAAGTTTTTGTGTAATACGAAATTAAGTGTCTAATTTTCGCAAAAGTTGAAACTACTGAACTGAAAATTCTGTCCTTTTAGTTTGGAAATTTCCGTGAAAAGGTGATCACGTACCCCTCCCTTCTCGTTTAGGACAAAATTGTGCCTTAGAGAGGCGTAGGTGCTAGGTTACCGAGATCCAGAGGGCCTTTTATTCATTGAGATATATAATTGAGAAGAGGATGAAAACGTCGCCTAATCCTTTACAGATATTTCCTGGGACTCGGCCAATAAAAACTGCAGAGTGATGCAGATAGACGTGCAAAAATTGCTTACAAAGAATGAAAATGATATAAAGAAAGGTGGAGCAGCTGCAGCTAAGGCCAAGCGAGTAAAAGATATAATTCATGGATTGAAGTATGTAACTGACCAGAAATGTAAAGGTAAGTTTTTACGACATTTTGCGAATCTAAGGGAGGGGCCTAGAGGGCCCAGGGGGGGCCGGGGTACCCGATGGGGTTGGGAGACCGGGGGGGCATGGAGAGCCGGGGGGTGAGCCTCACCTTATTTTAAGACCAATTTAGAGTTAGCAGGAACGGGAAAAATAATTTTCGAGGCTACGCCCTCAACAACGGTTCTTGTCAGTGTGAACAGAATTCCTATCTGCTATGACTTTCGTAACGGCGCGAAAGCATCATTCCGGTATGGTGTAAACTTAGCCTAACAGATTTTTTCATGTGGCCGGCGATGGTTTAAAAATCATTCGAAGTTGTTGTTCATAGTTTATAGAATAAAGAGAGACACAGTTTTGTTAACAGGAAAAAAGATCGATATGTTGAGTTTACATGAAATGTCTTTTTGACCAGCAACGCCTCATACTTAAGCTACAGTAAAAAGGGCAACAATAAACGTGAAACACGTTTGCATCACTGCGGCAAAACGAATTGAATAGCGATGTTTCGCGTTTTACCACCCACCTTCGAACAAATAAGATTGCAAGATTTTTTCGTCGGTGGTAAAACGCCCAACATTGCTATTCAACTTGATTTGCAGCAATTAGTGTTGCAAAACAATTTGCACGTTTGTTGTCGCCCGTTATACCGTACCTCTGAATAATCAATGCATCAAAAAAATGTTAGGAAGCTCCAATTTAAGGTGCTTGTTCGCTAGCAACACATGTAACTTTGAGAAGCACTCGTCATGATTTCTTAGGTATAAATGAATGCTCCACCAAGAAGCATGACTGTGATAAAAATGCTGTCTGCAAGGATACTGACTTGGCCTTCTCTTGCACCTGTAAACCAGGATATAAAGGAGATGGACTGAAGTGTATAGGTTAGACTACAGTACTTTACTCCATTCACGTATTGCCAGTGACGTAACTTAAGTCTTGAAGGGTTCAGTCGGTTTTGTTTTAACTGATCAGAATTTTGTTTCTTCTGAATAGAAGGCTAGATTAAAGGGATTAAGCTTTACGGAAAATAAGCTAGCTAGAAGTTTCTTCGGTTTGTTAATAAAGAAATTAAGATTCACGTTCGTGGCAAACGGCAAACGTCAGATTCAAGCTGAGAATTTCTCAGAATAGGAAATTAATAAGCAGATAAAAACTGCCCAGAACAATTCTTATGGATAACACTGGCGTGAAACGACTTACTTCTGTGTAGAAGTAATAAACAGCAAACGACAATTAAGGGGAAAACTTGGTCACGTGGTAAAAATTCACGTTTTCCGTTTGAAGTAAACGTGAATGTTAATCTCTCTAATATTTCGTTTGTCCCTCACAGCTGATGCAAGCATTTTGAAGGGATATCCATACAAGCCAGCTGAATATCGTGAGTTAAAGATATATGACTACCTTAGGAAGGGCAATTTACTTATACTATTACATTAAATATAAATGAGATCATGATATCATAAATTTTTGAAAGGACAAAAACTTGCAAGGAAACGCCTTTGAAAACGGTAAACGCCAGGAACCGTGAAGTTTTAATTTGAAAAGCGTGCAAGATTTAAGCTGAGAAGTGTGCAAGTTTTTGACCTGATCAGAAGTAAGTCAAAATTTTTAATCAGTATGGNTGAAGTAAACGTGAATGTTAATCTCTCTAATATTTCGTTTGTCCCTCACAGCTGATGCAAGCATTTTGAAGGGATATCCATACAAGCCAGCTGAATATCGTGAGTTAAAGATATATGACTACCTTAGGAAGTGCAATTTACTTATACTATTACATTAAATATAAATGAGATCATGATATCATAAATTTTTGAAAGGACAAAAACTTGCACGGAAACGCCTTTGAAAACGGTAAACGCCAGGAACCGTGAAGTTTTAATTTGAAAAGCGTGCAAGATTTAACCTGAGAAGTGTGCAAGTTTTTGACCTGATCAGAAGTAAGTCAAAATTTTTAATCAGTATGGTCCACTTTTACGCGGACTTGTTTACCCCCCTCCCCCCGTGCCAGTTTTTGCATTGTTTGCTCGGTAAAAGCCTAGAGGAAAAATTTGTACGCGGGCTCGTGTCAAGACGTTTACATACCCCAAGATCACGTTTGAGAATTGTTGCTGTGATTGTTTGGCTCGAGAGGGAGCTAGAATGAAAGTTTTACCTTTGTAGTTGGATTTTTTTTTGGGGGGGGGGGGAAGATTTTAACCTAAAATTTTTGGTTTCGTTCAGCGGGCTGTCCAGATCGCGAGTGTTTGGCCTTTCCTCTCCTTACTAGTGGAAACTCGGGAGAAAGGAAATCGCCTAAATCGCATAACCACACAAGAAGCAAGAACACACTAAGTAAATGAGGTAAAGCGTTTTTTACTGAAAATTTCTGCGATGGAATATTTATCTTTTTTAATCTATTGCCTGATTCCCGATACAAATCCTTTATATTTACGGCCATTTTGAGGATTACACAATTATGATACCACACGTATTAATGATTAAACACTCCTCCTAGGTTGACTGTGCAAGGTTTACCATTTCTGTATTTATTGACAGCCGAGCCTGCAAAGTGCGAGTCCGACGAGGATTGTTTCAAAGGAAGAGCTAGATGCATTCGAAAGGAATGTCATTGTACGGGACACTTTGTGGGAGATGGAAAAACAAAATGTGATCGTAAGTCAGTCATGCCTTCCAATTTTCACCTGTTAATTCAAAAGAGATGTAAATATTATATGCACATGTTACCGTATGAAAATGATGTCGCATTTACGCCACTTTTGTTCTTAAGAGAACGGTCGCGCATTGCTATTAGGCTGATTTAGCAAGAGAACAGGGACGTCATTTGACGACGGAAAAGCGGGCGGAAAGGACTTCAAGTAAACTCGACTTCCAGTGCCCAATTTGCCGCTCAGCCATTGGTCAAGCCAGTTGTTTGATTTGCGCGCGCAGTCGTCAACTAACGTTCCCGTTATGTTGCTAAATCAGCCTATTGAAGGAGCCACAACGGATTCTCTACTTTTTCTATTTCATTTTTCCGATTTTTGAGGTGATGACATAACAATGAGAAAGAACAACACTAAAAGCAACCTCGTTTTCAGGTCCTCTCCTACTCCGTCCCCGGGGGCCGAGTAAGAGAGGACCTGGGAATAAGGTTGTACTCAGGGTTTTCATGGTATGACAGGTCTATCCTTGTTTTTATTTTCTAACAGACTGGAAGAAGTGCCCACACCACAACATGTATGACAAAAGAGAGCCATGTGGGATACACATAAAAGGAAAAATGGCACATTCATTCTGTTTGGAAGGAAAGTTGAATCTCCATGGTCACTTACGAACATCTCATGTTTGCAAGTGTCATGACGGGTATATTGGCAGAGCAAATCACCCTGAATGTGTGAGTTCGAAAGGTGAGAGATTTTGCTTAAGGAGCTGCAATCTCTGATGAAGTGGAAAGCTAATTTTTAAGGTGGCTCGATGGGGTTTTCCATCTGCCTGGCAACAAATTTTTGAACTTGAAGAAATACTGTAACTTCTATTTACTGGTTTGCATATAACACTGATATTTTGAGGAAGTCATGTCTACTTGTACTCTTTCTTGCCCGAAAACTAAATAGCTCCGGTGCACGTACTAATCATTTCGAAGTTATGAACATGCAAACCCAAATTATGTGTAGTAGCTATCAGACCTGTTATTATTTCTCAATTTTCTTGAGACAGTGGAATGAAATAAATACAGTAATAATCTTCTATTCAGCTAGTCCGTTTTAGCTTCAAATAGCTAAAATTCTTTCCTTTTTTAGGAATGTATATTTGTTGAGATTATGATAATGAATGCATTCATTGTTGACTTTTTCTTTCCACAGCCGATAAAACTGGCCGCGGGGCATGCGTACTGGAACATAACTGTCATGAGTTAGCGAGGTGCAAACATAACAAATGTTACTGTCTTGATGGCTACGATGGAAACGGTGATGTTTGTGTGGGTAAGATATAATTAACACGTGTTGAAGATTTTTCTTCTCTTATTACTCAATCATCCACTCGATTTATTGGAAATCAATAGCGGCGGTGATAGGTCATTTGCACGATGACGTCTTTTTACTACTACGACCAGGATTCATTTCGTTTTTTCCTTCATATGTAAATTTGGTCATCTCAGGGCGCTTTCCATTTGCCAGAACTGACCGGCCAGACCATTCCCGTCGTAATGTGAATTTCACTTTTAATCAAAACTATCCAACCAGATCAGTCAAATCCTAAATAGTATGCACGAAGGAGATGGTTTTATCATCATCAACATCATCATCATCATTGTCAAAATTATTCTTACAGGATTTCTAATATTACGTTTGTATCATACACTGAGACCGTTCTATCACGTGATTTTCGATGGAAAAATTACTTTGTACGTACTGTAAGCCCTTAATTTGTCCATCAAGAGATTTTTCCATGAGTTACTTTACTACTTTTTAGATTTTATCATATTACTTACCTATCGTGCGTTTTTTTCCACTAGAACTGTTGTTTTGTTTGTTTTTCAGTCGGAAAACATGGAGGCACTAAATGCTTTAAGGATTCTCACTGCCCATCATATTCTTTCTGCGAATATGAAAAATGCAAATGTAGAACTGGTCTCGTCGGAAATGGAGGAACGTGCAAGCCTGGTACGAAGATTAATACCAATAAATAATCTGCGTAACAGTAAAACAAGATATGTGTCTTTCTGAAAATAAGTCTTCATTGGCCGAGAAATCGTGACATTCAGGATTAAATTGTTTGTGCTACTACTAATACGTGTCTCGCAACCCCTCGCGAAACTCGGTGTTGCGCTCAAGTTACTCTTCTGCAAGCGCGCGAGTCGCGAAACTCAGTGTGCCAGCCAAGTTAAACCTTGTTGGACTGGGTTGGAAACATAATATAGGTGACAAGTGGGGAAATCAGAGCCATCTTGATGGGGCTATTTTTTTCTCTCTTGTTTTTTTCTTTTTCTTTTTTATTGTCCTAGTTTTTGATAGACAAAATGCGTATTGGAAAGCATATTTAGGAATATTTCGGTCGCTGGGTGGGCAAAAAAAGGCAAAACACGGCAACAACTCGGGTTCAACGGCCAATCATGGACAGAGCTGAAATCAGTTTTTGCTCCTTTGGCGGAAAAGGGGCCAAGTTAATTGTGGATTTGTCTCGGTGTAACATGAATTCAAACGTAGATCTCCCCCCCCCAACAAAAAATAAATAAATAAATAAAAGATTATTGCGGTCCCTTTATTAGTTTCAATATTATACTTCACTGATAATTTAGATTACTCTGCTGTTCAGATTTCTCACTCTCAGTACATTTGTTACTCATGTAATTTTTCATGTAGAGAGGTGAAAGAAGAGCTCAGCCCAGTTTAAATCTGTACATGAATGTCATGCAGGATTTTTATTTCAGAACCGCTGGCTGACTGCGCTACTCATAGTTTTTGTAGTGTGAACGCCAGCTGTATAAACGGAAAATGTATCTGCAAAGGTAAAACAGTTGGGACTGGAAAGGAATGCCGAGGTTAGTCTTAGACATTTTATCTTAAATCGTCACGCCATTTTTCATAATTCATTCTGGACATTATGATTAACTTTTATAAGAAGTCCCTTTGTGGGTTCTCCAAAAGCCTTGGAGATGTCGTGCGTAGCGTGATGGAGTGATTGCTTTTGAGAAGCCTCCCCCGTAAGGCTTTCTGCAAAACACGTCTCTTTTAAATATGAATAAATCACAAAACCAGAACATTTTCTCGACCTTTTTACCGCAATAAAATCCATTTGTTAGTCTTTTTGTGCCTTTTTACAGCCTGAAATGACAGATTTCCCTCCCCTTTCATGTACCTGAAGCCTGAAAAAGGTAGCAGTAACGGGCGGAGCCTCCCCGTGTGGGCCTTTATGGGAGTACTTTCCCGGGCAAACCTAGGACTCAAAACGATCAGAACGGCATGGAAATATATGTATCCTTAATAGAACCAAATCTTTTTTACGATTGCAGAGTATCAGCCCTGCCCAAAGGGAACAAATTACTGCGGAAAGAGCACGATTTGCTTGGTTGATCCTTTTTTTCCTACAAAGTGTGCAGGTTAGTGTACTATTCTACTGCACTTACGGTGACTTAGTATGTTCATGAGATCAGCTTGACACCTCATTTGTCTGCCAGAAATTTAATTCAAAAAGTGCTTCGATTCGTATAACTATTTCAGCCTTGGATGAATGCGAGAAGAAAGGGATTTTTTGTCCACGGTTCTCCAGCTGTATGAAGGAGGGCATCGCAGCTCCCAGCTGTGTTTGTATGAAAGGCTTCAGACGTGTAAAAAAGGATAAAGAACAGAAATGTGAAGGTAATGTGAGACACTTGTTTAACCCTAGGAATAGCAACGAATGCCGCAAGAATAAATAAATGTAATCAGTAGTTTTAACTTTAACTAGATATAATTGAAACTGAATTGAAGCACACCACCGTAGGGGGTGGGGGGGAAGGGTAAACCCTATAATGGCCTATACGGGGAGGCTCCGCCTGAAAGGGGTACCTTTTTCATGATTCAGGTACATGAAAGCTGTGTAGGGGTTACACTAGTTGAAGTATATGAAAGGGTTGAGGAATCGGTCATTTCGGTCTTTAAAAGGGCCCAAAAGGGCTAGCAAATACATATTATGGCTGTCAAAGAGCCGAGAAAACTTTCTGGTTTTGTGATTTATTCATATTTAAAGGAAGGTGCATTTACAGCAATGAAAAGGGATGTAACGTTATAAACTAGGTCTGCGAGAGGGGTTCCATTTGTCAGTAGAACGAAAGGGGTACGAAAAGGGTAAGGGGTTGAACCTCGGGGCGGAGCCTCCCCGCATAAAACTTTCTAAATCTCTAATACCTCCCGGGACACATCGGAGACCGTATATGGTATCATATTATATAACCAGAACGCAACAAAATAAGGCTTTGAGAATCCTGCTAGAAGGAGGAGAAACTAACATTAATAGAAACTGAAGGAAATGCTATAAGGACTCAACTTGAATCAAGGTATGAGAGGCCCCTGATCACGCGAAAAGAAAAAAAATTTCCTTTTACATTCAGTCTAACGCCTTTAAAATGCAGGTAGTATAGGTTCTTTGGATGCCCTTTCTAGCTTAACGATATATTTCATTTTCACTAATGATTTTTGATAGACATCAATGAATGCAAAGAAAAGAAGCACAACTGTTCCATTGACAGAGTGTGTCAGAACCGACTGGGTGGATTTGATTGTCTTTGTCAGAAGGGGTTACGCCTGGACTATGATGGCAAATGTGTTCGTAAGTGTGTTCTAAAGATGTTGTGAGAGAAGAACAAGTACTGACGGCGCTATTGCGTCGTTCTTATAACAGGGGTGTGTGAACTGTAACGTAATGCATGTGATATTGTTGTCAGTGTTATGGGCTGTACAATGAAAAATGCATGCATGTAAACGGCACATTTCGTCTGAAATAAGATAATGCGCGTCTTATCTCAGAAGGGCCCTTAACGTCTGTTCTTAGATAAGACATGTCTTGGCTAAGTCACGTCTTATTTCAAACGAAATTTGCTGTTTATTTTTTTTTTCATAAAATAACTAAGATAGTACGCGCGTTCTGATTGGTTAAAAACCTATGGTTTATTGTGCCGGTAAATTCATAGAAAACGTAAAGTTATTTTATAAAAGCAATAGACCACACTTTCTATGGGTTTACCGGCGATAACCCACTTGGGATGTTGGGAGTTTTCTCATGTTCTGCCAACATTCCAAGTGAGTTATCACGCCGGTCAACCCATAGAAAGTGTGGTCTATTGCTTAAATCTTTCAACATTTTATTTACAAATCCCAAAAGTAAGTTAAACTACATGCATAATAGCACTAAATTTAAGTAATGGGTAAGGGTGTTCGTGGCCGCAAAGCACGTGGCTAGCAGGCCCGCTCCGTAAAATCTCTGATAACAGATAAATTTCTTATAACAATATTGCAACCCTCAATAAAGCCTTTGATGACAGGAGTGGCTCAGGTCTGTCCTTGAACTTTGGATTTACCGGGAAAATACAGCCAGTTGTCGAAGCGGGGCGTCGAACCAGGACCACTGCGAGCACTTGACCACTCGGTCACGCTGAGTCCCAATGGCACACAATTAGGATGAACATGAATAGTGGGAGGACAATTGAATTTTTCTATTTGTTTCAGCATTGGACAAATGCGATGAGAGAGGAAACACGTGCTCACCAAATAGCAAGTGCAAAAAAATTCGTAGTGGCTCTTATGACTGTGTTTGTATAGAAGGCTACAAAGACGTTCACTTTGGAGAGAACCTCAAAAAATGTGAAGGTAAAAAGAAAAGTTGTTGCTTAAAAACAATCAATTGTTAGTTAGCGAAAATGTCTTATACATCATACCGGCATTTTAGTATTCTATCCGTACACCTGCTCAGAGCCTACGCATGAAGAGGGGATGATTTATTTACCTGAGTAACAATTTTTTTTGTAACAGATTTTCCGCCACTACCGTGTCAACCATGGTAAAGATGACAAATTAAATTAACAAAATAATCATTGCAAGGCATGCCAAATTCTGTGTCCAGTAGTTTACCAAAAAGGTAGTATTTCGGTGTTTTGCGTTCAAACTTCTGCGCTCTGGCTTGCGCTCTGTTAGTTTGCTTTTAGGTCTTAAAGTGAACTTGTTTTCCTACCATCACTCGTTTTTTTTTCCATTATGAAAACTAGAAGGAATATTTTCCTCTTTGTTTTCTCTTTATTTTTCTTAGATGTCAATGAATGCTTAACAGCCGAGGCTAAATGTTCGGGTGACCGCTGCCGAAACACTCAAGGCTCATACACATGTGTTCCTTGTCTCCCAGGATTCACTGAGAACGATGAGGGCATTTGTGTCGGTAGGCATGCCCAATCCCTAATAATAACAATAAAGAGGAAATTAACTCACTTTTAAAAGAAAGAATTCTTTGGAATTCCGGTAGGGAAACGCCCTTGTATTGTTCAAATGGAGGCAATCAGTTTGTTTCTGTTTGACTTGAGTAAACTCAGTCAGCGGATCGGTTAGTACTATATTTCATCGAGCGTCGATTCGTAAACCTGATATACTAGGTATTTGACCAATTTGAACAATTCCACAAAGTGTTCAGAGCGGGACTCGAACCCGGGGCTTCCGGATTGCGAGTCCGACGCGCTGACCACTCAGCCATGCTGCCTCCTTAAAATGTGCATTTCTTATTAATAAGGTAAAGTAATAATAATCTATGTAATTTTGGATTTAAGTTAGGATTAAAGGAGCTTGCAACTGCGATGAAAAAACTGAAGAATGCAAACGTGGAAAATGTAGATGTAAAACTGCTTTGGGATACAAAAGAAACAACAAAGGCCGATGTGTCAGACCACCGGGTAAGCATATGGTCCCCCAGTCGACCCTCCGAAATTTTCGTTGTTCTCAGATTATAATTCTGATCAAATATTACCTAACAAAAATATTGCGGAAAAAGAGAATAATTAGGCAGCATAGGCAAAGGCGTTATTGAGCAACGCATGTCAACTAGAAGTGAGGTCTTTTTGACGGTACCAAATTTGCATTTTTAAGTGTCTTTGCTATTATAGAGACCAAAACCACCGTCCAAAAATGAAAAAAAGACCTCTCCCGATTGACATGCGTCGCTCAAAAACGTCTTTGCTTAAGTTCACTGTTATGTTCTCTAGCTATTAAAGTGATGTTACACGGGACGATTCGCCACGACTAGTTTTAGCGCAACAAAGCGTTGCAATTTTGGAACAATGTTGTAATCATTCGAAACAATGTCGCATTAATATTGCAACGCTGTGTTGCGTTAAAAATCGTCGTTGCGAATCGTCTCGTGTAACATCACGGTTAATCATCCGCTGATTGTCTCAATATAGCTGTCAGCATTTTTTTAAAAGTGTGTACCAGTCAAACGACTTTAATTTTTGTGCAAACTGCAAACCCGGAAAATTGGATTTTGTTTTTACAAGAATATTGAAATTAATTTCCTCCATGTAAAATACTAGCACCACATGTTTCTATTTTTTGAACCTAGGTTTTAGTCTGAAGGATCAAAAGAGCTCGGCCCATTCTTCATATTTCTGCATTCAAGTCATCATACTTATGCCTTTTTGGACAGTAGTCTTTACGGCATAAAGACCTCAACCAGCTACCGACTGCCACCTCAGTTCCTAAATTTCTCTTTTTTTTGAGAAATTTCATCGTACTTCATAGGAGTCAGAGGCTAGAAAATAGATGATCAAACAAAAAAAACCTCGGTTAGCTTAGTACTGACATTTATAACGTATCGCCCATGTGGAAGAAAAAATATGCCCTATAAGCTTTAAATATACTTTAAGTATTAGTTTTCTCTGCAATTGTTCTTTTCCTCGCTAGAACTAAGTGGTGAGCTGGCTGAGCAAGGAAGAAAATAAATTATTTTTGTGCAAAATTCGATTCTGCGTTTTGATTTTCTTTATTGCGGCACAAGGCCAAGCGTAATATGAGAGTTTGTATGGGAAATAAAGAGTTTGAAACTTAGATGGAATAAATGAACTAAAAGCGATAAAGTTACCTGGTGTCACTGTCTTTGTTTTTACAAAGTTTCAGCGAGATTTGAGTACTTTTACAGTTCTTCTAACATTTTGTCGGGTCAGTATATTTTTTTACTTTGGGACGGTAACGGGGAAGATTAAAAGTGGAAAGCGGGATTTTCAAGATGGCGCAACCGGAAGAAACGGGATAGCATTTCGTAACATTTTGTGACGGAAAAAGGCCAGGAAAGGAGAGGGAATCTCTCCCCCCCTCCCCCGGTCCCACCTTGTCCGGGACCCGCCCCTAGGGAAAAAAAGAAATCCAAGATCTTTTTAAAGAATTGTTCTATTTCCGGTTAAAGGAAAAAAAAATGATAAAGTTACGTAATAGTGTCGCCATTATGATAGCAAAATCATATTTTGGTAAACTCTCACTGAAGGTAACTCGTGTTTACTTTTAGGCACAATTCTAAATGCAGAATTCAGTCATTTTCCCTTATAGGATCTCACATAAGAAAACGCACGCTACCCAATAACTACAAACGTCACAGTTGCTAACTTACCGTTAATTAATAAGCTGATTTAGCAACAGAACGGGAACGTCATTTGACGACGGGAAACCGCACGGAAAGGACTTAACTCTACTTCCGGTACCCAATTTGCCGCTCTGCCATTGGTCAAGCCAGTTGTTTGATTTGCGCGCACCATCGTCAACTGACGTTCCCGTTCTGTTGCTAAAACAGCCTAATTGATTAAGCGCAGCGGCGCTTATTTCATTTTCCTGTTATAGGTGCGGCGCTTATTTCAATAGCGGGTAAAACACTAAGGGGAGTACAGAGAGAATGAAGTGAAAATATGTACACCTAGAACTGTTATATGAACCCGGTTTCAAGAGTTTCCCTACGTTAAAACTTTAGAACTCACGAGTTGGTTGAGGCCTTATTTCTTAAGCGATATGGTTTTGATCTCTTCATAACAAGCGCCGTAGCAAAGGTCGGCGTTAATTTGTAAATACCCAAATTAGCCTCCTTGGCGCTTATCAAATTATTTTCGGTAAAGGTGGGGCGCTTATTCGAGTAGCAGCGCTTGATCGATCATTAACGGTTTCCAACAAATAGGTGCACGACCTGCCTATGGAACGATTTCTACATAGACCGGAATGGCGCTGAGGTGAATTTGTTGGTTTTATTTGAAAAGAAATAAAAGACGAAAATAAAGCACCAAGGATCGAAGGAAAAACGGCAGTTTTCAATTAAAGTTACGCATCGTATCAATTAGCACGAAACAAAAGGTAATTGCGAAAAGAAAATTAATAGCTAACGACACAATTCTTCGGTCGAGTCAAGGACCTTACAGTTTGGAAAATATCACTAAAAATGGGAAGTGTCACCAAATGGATTGTGTTGGTGCTGGTGATATGTGTTTTCACCCGTAATTCACTGGGCAAAAGTGGAAACAAAGATCGTAAGTTTTTTTAATCTTTTGTACCTTTAGAGGCACTTATAACTTCTTAAGCTATAAATGAAACCTGAACGTCAAGCGCTACCTAGGAATGTCGGGGTTGTAAGATTGCATGTAAACTCGGGTTATTGTTTTTTAAAATCCTCAGGCCCTTATTCTTCTTTAATTCCCAAATTTCGTCAATAATCAATGTAGCTCCAACATCTAATATGATAACAACGTATATGCCAGAATTACATTTTATTGGATCATAACATCATGATCAAGGTATTGCTAACCTGCGATCAGGCGATTTTTTTTTTTTTGGCGGGGGGAAAAATACGCCTGATACAATTGTTTGTCAACCCCGCCAAAAAAAAAAAAAATCACCTGATTGCAGGTTAAATTATTGCAAACACTATTTTTTTTTGGTAATATGAATCGTTTCCATGGATTCACTTGAAATTTATATTCTTTTACATTTTTGACAAAAAGGGAAAAAAAAAGAATGTGGTGGCCGCAATATAGAAAGTGTATAAAATTACAA